ACCATAGGGCTAACTTTGCGCTGGTCAATGATAGCACTGGTTCAAGCTTGTTTTTGGTCGCTGGCCTCTTCGATCCATACCAACTCTGTCCACGTTGTGTTCTTGATCTCAGAGCAGTGGAAGATCGAATGTCGTTGTTCTGGTTCAAGCTGTGGCGAGTGCTATATTAAGGAAGAAATATCTTCACAACGAAAAATAAAAACGAAAGATTCATTGAGTTAATTTTAAGTTGGTTTATATAGTTCTTAGTACAACAAAAATTAACGCTTCACGCATCAATCTCTATAGTGACACTGAACCTCGTCTAAAGTTTTGGGTTCAAAGTTCTTGAGAATCAGGCAGTTTGATGGCAGCTGAGCTGAACCCAGAGGCACTCGGTGCTGGATTCGCAGCCCAAGTCTTCGGGCTCTCAAAGCTATCTGCTTATATGCACTTCGGCCCAAAACAGGCGTGAGACCAAAGGGTTCTTGGGATTCGTTGATTCTTCAATTTCCTCATTAATGACAATAAGGATTTTTGTTCCCTATTTCGGTTTTCTTCAACTTTCCAAATTTTAAGAATTATCCATCTTCTAGGGAGTAGTTCCAGGGATTGCTCTTCAACCGCTTTCACTTCACATCTCGCACCACCACCCCAGATCGTGCCAAATTCTCTCTCTTCCTCATTCCTTTTCGGCATTCCACCTCAGCTTACCTCCCAGAGCAGGCATAACTGTCTTTGTGACAGATCTAGTTTTTAAATCGTGTAGTAGGGCGTAGTTTATTCTAGCCATTAATTTTAATTCTCTTGTTTCGTCAAGGAAGAGATAAAATTATTTCTCCGTTCCTGGACTTATTAATGCCCAGCAAAAACATAAACCAGATCGCCTACTCGGCAACGACAGGATCTGTTTTCATAACTTTGACCCTCAAAGGTGTTCGTTGTTTGTTTACATTTTCCAATTCGTTTTCGGCAACGAAAATATAAGCCCCGTCTGTTTCTCTATTCGTTAATGATATTTGAATATCTGAATACTTAAGGAAGATCTAAAATTGTTTCTCCATTCCTGGACTGATCTCTGTTTATCGAAAATATAAATCAGATCACCTGCTTATCATGACAGGATCGATTTTCATAACTTCGACCCTCACAACGGGTTCGTTCTTTGTTTAAATTTTCCAATTCGTCTTCGCCAACAAAAATTTAAGCACCATCTGCCTGTCCTCTCGCCAATGATATGTGTTTTTTTAATTCCCCAAGGAAGAGATAAAAACATTTTTCAAAATCCGTTTTTGCTCTCATTCCAGACACTCGATAGATAAAAAAATAAACTTTAGGAGAGAAGAAATCTAGAGGTTCCAGAGGAGCCAAATGAAAGTGGATACAAGTACCTTGGAATTCTCGAACTTGATAACATATGACATAGTGATATGAAGGACAGAGTTGGGGATATATATATCTGGAGATGCTCAAATTAGTACTCTAATCAAAACTTCATTCTCAGAACCCGATTGCTGCAATCAACACAGGAAGTGGCTGTAGTTAGATACAGTGCTACTATTTTGAACAGGACACAACTTGAAATTTGCGAATTTGATAGGAAGATCTCTAAGATGCTCATAATGCACGGTGCACTGCACCCAAAGTCTAATAACAGCAGACTTTATATGAAAGGTTTTAATGGAGGCAAATGTTGATGTGTTTGCCTGACGAAGGTGAACGTGGTCACTGGCACACCACTTGGTGAACAACGAAGAACTCCTACAATAGGCAGCAGCACAAATGGGTAAAATGAACAGAAAAAAATACTAAGAGAGACAGGCACGGGAGAAGCGTAACCAACTACTGGAGATGCAATTGCATGGACAATTTGAAAGAGTAACGAAGAGATGAAGCCACCCAGGAATAGTTGAAGCACGGTGATCTGAAAAGAGGGACGGAATTGCATAATCGTTGTCCCGTAGTAAGAATCCTTACATAAAAAAACAGCATACCTAACAACGTGTACCACATTACACAGATGATCCAATGTGTAGTCTTTATTGAGAGAAACAATAGAACGTCACACATGCTAGGTGATACTAATCAGTGGGTATATAAAAGGTTGCCACAGAGAGAGTACAAACGACGATATGACTGTGTTTTTTACCTTAACTTGTACTGACTCTTGTGCAAAAATATGACTACGACGTGACCGGGTAATGGTACGATTACGTACCACTGTACCAGTCAGCACAAGTTAAGGCAAACACGTACCGTTGATAGTCATGGAAAGAGAAGGCTAAGTAAAGATAGTCTGGGACTCTAACTTTCAAACAGATCGAGTTATTGAACACCGAAGACCCGATCTAGTTGTCCTCAACACAACTGAAAGTCAATGCCAAATAATGGATGTGGCTATTTCTGTTGACTACGATAGAGCATCAAGGCAAATAGAAATGATCAACAACTACTTTGAAGGTTGCCAGATGGTGGAAAATGCCATAAATTGTTATCCCAGTAGTGATTGATGTACTTGGCTCACTCCTATTGAAATTTAAAGAATATGTCGACCAAATTGATGTAAAACACACATTGCGAACACTATAAAAATCTGCCTTATTAGGTATAGCAAACATATTTCGAAATGTACGGTGTGTTGTTGTTTACTTGACAGGCAGTATCTTCCCTAGTACCCAAGACAACTATACACCAACAGTATAATGATCATTAATAAAATAATAGTAACTAGTTTAACCTGATAAATTTTAAATTAAGTAATGATTGAGTAAGCTCATAGCGAGTTTTGCGACAATGAAATATTCGGAGAAATTCCCCGATCGCATCCTTAAATATTTGAAGTTTAACAAAATGTTACAATAACAATCATAAATATGAATACTGGAGACACAACGACGTGGTTTAATGGTTAGCAAGGTTGTCTCGCTAGAACAATTATTACTGAGTAGTGAGTTCCTCATTTGGTTTCCCATACATTCGGCCTTGTGCCATATCTAAGCTACGTTTAAAAAATTATCATAAATATGAATGCTGGTCGTCATTTTAAAAAGTAAGGAGATACAAATGAAAAGATTTGAATTAGCAACATTTTCCATTTCACTAAAACAGACGTTAAATATTTCTATCTTCCCTTCTTGCGTTTATTTTCTCACTGAAATCAAGTAGCGTCTTTGATATGTCTTTTGTTTCACACGCGATGAAAACCGAATAGTCTATTATTTATGAAGTATTAGCAAGAGACATTAAACACTGCTATCTTTCTTTCTTTTTTCACTGAAACTAAGTAGTGTCTCTTTTGTCATTCCACGCAATCAAATGGATAACCATTGCTCTTAGTCTTCACAGTTTCCATTCTTTTCACACTGTATAACGCGCCCTTGCATGTAGAACTTGTATTTTAATCTAATATTATGTGCAAGTGTAAATGGTAAATAGTTCAGACGTTTTAATGGAAGAAACAAAATGTCATACAACTTGAACTCCAAAATAAAATAAAAAACTAACTTCGATTGAAAAAAATTCAACTGCTTCGGTAAAGATTGTTCATTACTAACAATGATACTCGGAGTTTCGCGTGTCAAGTTTGTTTTGTTTGTTTTTTTCTGTTGTGTTTCGTAATTTTTTGTAGAGATTTGCGTCTGCTGTCAACTGGTTTTAGAGAAATTTTCGTAATTAAGGCCTTGTGTGATGTGGAGGGACATGATCATCTACGTTCTAAAGGGACATGGAAGCAGATTAATTTAAAAATCTTATTGGTTTTCTTTCATTTCATGTACGTCTTGTTATAATTGATAATATTTGTTATATTTTAAAAATATATTACACTTTGCATGGTGTACTTATGTTATAAATACATCCTGACAATTTTAACAACATCAGTTGATTAATAATACCAATTTTATCGTGGAATCACTGACTTGTAAAAAACCGATAGGGTATTAAAAATGTAAGCAATATTTATTTCTACTTCTTCTTCTATGTACCTTCAGAATAAAGGTTTTCATTTTTCTCCACAGCTTCCTACCCTTTGTAGCCCTTAGTAAAGTTTGTCTTTTTTGCTATATCTCCTAATTCCTATTCTGCCAACCATTTGCACATGTCCGTTAGGTTAGGTTATTATACAACTTTTTAGATAGGATATTCGCTGATTTCCTTTGTCTGTCTTGCTTTCAATATGCCTCGTGAGAGTCAAATTCTCCAAGCCCTCTTTCCTCGTCAAGTGCCTTAGAAATTTCGTCTCTTTCTGATTCAAAGTATAAGTATCATTTTGGCTTCCATTTTCCCTAAAACTTCCGTCGTTATGTTCAGTCAGTGGTATTCTCATATTATCATTCTGTAGAACCACGTTTCTGTTGTTTCAAATCTCTCTCTTTCATCTGTGATAAGACACTGTTTAGCATTCTCTTCCATGTGGTAGGACTGATGTTACATAACAGTTTAGTACTCTTTTCTTTGTTTCTAACGAAATTTTCCTTTTTCTTAATACTTAACTTAGCTTTTGGAAGGCATCTATTTATATTTCATTCAGATTTCAGTATTACATTTTCTATCTTCTCTTAAAACACTTTCTTCTTCTTCTTCTTCTTCTTCATCATCATCATCATCATCATCATCATCATCCTTCTCTTCTTATTCTTCTGCTGTGTCCCTTCAGGACTTTGGCGATAATGGCTTTCCAAGTTTGTTTTTTTTAAGAATTAAGAGAATTAGAGCACTAAAAGACGACAAAGTAATACAATCTTGTGCTTTGGTCGACAAAGAAGTTTTCCGCTTTATTTGATATTCACAAGACAAAGAGTATCAAATGGATTAGAAAAATTATGACTTGAATTTAATTTTTTATTTTATCATTCCATATATTATGGCGTCATATTTGAGTTTGAATTTTTATACTTAACATTCGAAGAGATTCAAGATGGTATTAATTCTGCTTTCTTCTTGTTGTTATTAGTAGTATTATTACAATACTTGTTCGTAAGTTAAATATTTAGTTCTTTATAGGATCTTTGTTTATTTTATAGACATTTCTTCTATCTATAATCTTTTTGCCATTATTATTGCAAAGTATTTTTGACTTTCCTAAAACTATCTCACTGATGATGGTCGGCGTAAGATGTCCTTTTATTGTGGTGTTAGTCATTAGTTATAGAGCTACTATAGGATAAGTAGATTGCAAGTCGACGTGATATAGTTGTAATTGTATAAACAATGAATAGATTTTATATGTTTGTGCTAGTAGCAGTAGTAAAGTATATTTGTAGTAGTAATATATATTACTACTATTACATATATATAATATTAGTAGTAATAATACAATCTCCTAATAGGCATGAAAATTCATTTACAACATTAGTTTTACCCAGACTGGATTTTAGAGACTCGGTATTATTGGTGACAATCAGATTGGACGTTTTTATTTTATTTTTATAATAAACAGTTAACCGTACACATTTATTTTTATCATTTGGTGACGAATTATTTTTTTATAACTTGTTTATTGTTATTATGCATATCTATTTAGGCATAAATAATTCATTAAAAAAGGATTCATTAGATTTAACGGTTTTAGTGAATTCTTTCCGTCAGTGTATGCGTTGCTACAAAACTGGATTAAATTTATGAAAATGCAATGTTTTTAGTTCTAGTATTTTCAACCATCGATGGTCATTATCAAAAACGGCTAATAATAATAATAATAATAATAATAATAATAATAATAATAAATAATATGTATGCCATTTTATATGCGGAGTACTTATTGGAAAGTGCTCAATATCAGTGATAGAGCTAACATATTCAGTTGTATGGATATGAGTTTGTGTCCCTGGGTTTTCAATCTTTTGCGATCATAATCGCAACAGCGTGAAACCTAGGGTAACAAACTCATATCCATATAACTAAGTGTATATATATATATATATGTGTGTGTGTGTGTATAAATATATATATATATATATATATATATATAGATAGATAGATAGATAGATAGATAGATAGATAGATAGATAGATACCAGGTGTAACAGCATAACTGTCCATCCCACAAAATGTTTAATATCTAAAAAAAGTTTAAAAAAGAGGGGACAGTAAAGAGAAAATTGGATCAGGAGGTCACATCAGGAAGAGGGATCATTATCTCAAGATAAAGAGATCAATAAGAAAAGATCCAACTCAATTCATAAGACGGTTGGCACATGAGTTTCACCTATGACAGTCCAAAAAGCAGTGAAAAAAACTTGAAAATGAAAACGTACGTGGAACGTGTATGGCACATTCTTACTTCAAGACAGAAGGTTAGAAGTTTAGAGACGGCGAGTATCATTTTGAATAAGTTGGAAAATGATCCTAGAATAATATATATATACTTAAACTTTCTTTCAATCCTTCAAAAATGTACAATTTTGCTTTTACGCGATTTGGACAACTTTGCAGTTACCCCCCCCTCTCTCTCTCTCTCTCTCTCTCTCTCTCTCTCTCTCTCTCTCTCTCTCTCTCTCTCTCTCTGTGTGTGTGTATTTACAATCGGTTTAAGTAATGATTATAAATAAATTTCGGAGAGTAGAGTTCGAATTACAGTTGGGTCCCTTACTTTCAATTACGCGCAAATAACCTTGGTAATGGTATGAATCCATCTCTTTCCCCCCCCCCGGTTATGGGTTGAATAAATAGCAGACTGGGCTCTATAGTCTTGGTCGGCACCCAGTCTACCGCAGAAATAAACGGCAACCTACTGAGGGAAAATGTTTTGCCTAGTCAGTCATGAATCAAAAGAGATCGCCCAAGCGTGTATTACGTGCGGCACAACTAACTGACTGAAGGAATATACATTTCGAAATATTTTGATATATTTAAGTGCTCACATAATGCTACAACACTTAAGGGTCAAAGTATGGTCAAAATTAGAAAAGACAAGATGAACCCCGTTGGTGAAAATTGTCGCAGTAAATATATAAGGCAATTTTGAAAACTCTTATTTTGACATGTTTCGCTGATCAAACAGCGTCATCAGACAAAAATTATTTTGTTTCAATCAAATCTACATTGGCAAGACGTTAATCTTATGAAGGTTGCCTTTTTTTCTACTTTTATTTTTAATAATATATTAATTTAATTAATACAGAACATAATATTCAGGTAGCAAATGTTACTATAAAAATTTCCTCTAAAAATATTTCGTGATTTCGGTTTAAATGGGGCATTCGAAAAACCATAATGCCCCCAAGAGCGTGTGGACATATTTGGGGATAACATTTATTAATACTGTTAGTTAGCCACGACACTAATGGCTGTGCTATGGAAGAAAGGTTTATGCTCACATTTGCGTTTCCTCCCATTATTGGGATTTTATATCCAAGATATAATAACCAACTTATTTCACGGAGGGGATGGAGCTGGGAGAAAAAAAAATGACAAACATTCTTTGTTCTTATCATACAAAAAATTAATTCATTTTACTCTGTTAAGTCCTTATGTACAAATTGTTGTTGGCGAGGTTTATGCTAAAGAAGCTCTTGAAAGATGAGATACAAGTTCAAATCACGTCGGGGACTGTCTTCATTTCTAATTTTCGCTACTTATTTTAACGGTCGTAGAAGAGTTAAAAAGCGTTGTTGCAAAAAAGTAAAAAAAGCGCTGTAACGTGATACGTTCTGTTGATGTCTGAACGAGAACACCTGAATTATCGGCTTTCATTTAGCTTTTCTGCCATCATCCTAAGTAAGAAAGAGAGTAACGAATGTGTTGATTGTGTAAATATTCATATAAATATACATAAGGATATGGATGTTGATTTGTTTGCTTTGGTTACAATGCATATTATATAAGTTGTTTGTTTTATTCATAGTTAGAATATCAATACTCTAATATGTGTGTGTGTGTGTGTGTGTGTTAAAATCTGCTATATTTATGGAGGAAAAGTGTTCAGTATCGGAGATAAAATGTTAACAGATATACACAGTGTGGGCATACTGGATGGGGACTGTCAGTTTTACGCTTCAAGGTGTTTTCATTGTAATCGCTTTATCCGTGATACTAAAGCACTTTTCAAATTTTAACGAACACACACACACATAAAACGTTCGCTTTATGATCATGGTCGATTTGTCAGAGAGATGACGTCATGATGCTACTGACCTGTAGCGGCAATTTCAGCGCAAAGCATCTTTGGAAAATGTCTGAAGACCATACGATGTGTTGAACCAAACCTTGTTGATGAAATTCGGTAAACGGAATTGTTCTGAAGCCGTTGCTGGTTGTGCTAGCACGTAAGTCACAATTTTTAGTGATCGAGGTCTTGAGTGTGGAGGCCTTGTTCAAAAGATTGATCACGCTAGATTATGGTCTCTCTCCCAGAAACTGTAAATATAAAATTGAACATTGAAGTCCACAATCGGAGGCGACAGGCTGTTTCATGCTAGACGCAATCGTCAGGCCGACGATATATATATATATATATATATATATATATATATATATATATATATATATAGATAAATAGATAGATAGAAAATAATATATATATATATATATATATATATATATATATATATATATATATATATATATATATATATATATATAATGTACATAGATAGATAATGTGTGCCTGTGTGTGTGCGCGTACACACTTTAATGATTAGAAAAGCATTTTAAACAACAAATATTGCTCAACATATTCGCCTTCCTTGTTAAGGCACTTAATTCATTGGTGAATATCAATCACAATGTTCAGTGTAATTTTCTGATCACAATTCAGGTAATATCTACATATTAGATTATGATTCACTAACACGCCCAAACTACACACACACACACGCGCACACATACGCACACACACACACATGTGTGTGTGTATCTGTGTATGCGTATGCATGTGCGTGTGTGTGTGTGTATGTGTGTTTTTATGCGTGTAAGTCTATATGTAGTAAGCACGTGATGGAATTGACTGTTTCAGATGCTTCACAGATATTGTAAATATCTTCCTGAATTCGAAAAACATTTTGTATCTCACATTAATCTTGGAAAACGTACTTTACGAGTTTTACCACGCAGTCTACTGGAATGAATATAACTTAGGTCTTGGGTAGGTCTTTGAGTATAAAGGAATCCTTCGTTCGCCTACGTAAAGACAGCTTGCGTTATAATAAGAGTGACTTATAGTCAGAATGACAGCATGATGCCAGTTAGTAGTAATGATTTTCACTGGCTAGAACATTTGACAATCGATGAAATTATACGTCACAGATGCGCGCACTGCGTTCTTCCGATGTATTTTTCTCTCACTCTTTCCCCCTTCTATCTCTCTCTACATATATATATATATATATATTTAGGATGTGGACGATTATGGTCTTCCTGTTTTTTTCGAATCTCTGTATGACTCTTTCCTTTATAACCCACCCACTCTTTCTCTTTGTGGTACTTGTTCCTCCGTCCATTTGCTCAAACTTGTCAAGTAGGTTTAGGTAGATTAAAATAAATAATATATATCATCAACAACTCTGAGGACATGAAAGCTGTCGGTTGTTTTAATGACAACACCTGTCAGCAGACACACACACACACACACATACATATATATATATATATATATATATATATATATATATATATATATATATAGGAAAGCATAAACTCTGACGCAATCGTAGTAAGATGGGATTTTCTTTTGCTTACGTAATGTACGCCTAAATGTCGTGGATAAAATAAATATGTCGGTTGTTGATTATAAATCCTTTGTCGAGAGAAAAATATCGTAGTGGTTTTTACTACTCAAAAGGAAAATTACTCATTTATTGGTCATAATCTTATACAGAATTTCTCAAGCAAATCTTTCTTCTTTCCTCATTTTTTTCTCTTTTCTTCACATTACCCTCACTCTCTCCGATGGAAATAATTAGAGTTCACTTCGCACTGTTACCCGTAAGTATAATAGAATAGAAATAAAGGATGACCTGACGTTGAAAAAAAGTTCTTGATTTAAAAAAAGTCACGTAAAATGGATTACAGGTTTTATCCGAAATTCCAAAATCCGAAAACCTCCAAAATCTGAAAGTTTTCAGGTGCTATGTGACTTGCCACAAATGAAAAATTTCAGAAAGCAACATGGCTACCCGTAGCATGATTATTGCGTCGCAGCGTTACAAATGAAATGCTGACTTTTTTCAATTTTCATTACATTTAACTGTAATCATAAGCCATGTTTTATTTTTATACAAATACTGTACATGTATGTATTGTAATATCTTAATTAAAAAAATGACATCGTTTGTAGAGACTGGTAGCATTGAATTTTCTTTGATGTCATTTAGGTATCACAGATGAAAATTTCAAACATGTACTAGGTGTTATCTGATTGCATCTTCCTCATCTACATGATTAAAGAAACTTAGCAGTTTTTATTTCATCAAAATATCTCAAAGCGTTTAATTTTGGCAGATTTATTTTTATTTTTACACATGTGCTCGACGTAGCCATTTTTTGTCTATTATGAATTAGGACAAAATACCATATTTGGACTCCTATATTTTAAAAATCGATTAAGAACAACAGTTAAAATTATACTAGCTTGTTAGGTACATAACAAAGAAATTAATAATAAAATTACAGATGGCATCACTGCATATTTCTTAAATAAATTCAGTCTGAATATGCAAATTTTATAAGTCAAAACTTCTGCAACGACGTGCAAACAACTCATAACCTGAGGTTTGACATTTCATAAAACTGAAAATAAGACCCACATTCATCCCAAATTTCAAATAACACATTACGACTATACCAGTAACATGCCTATTTTTTTTTTTTTTTTTTTTTTTTGAGTGATAGAATGGATATATTCTGGATTATTCCACTTCAAAATTGAAAAAAATTGTTTTTTAACCTTTTGTCACAAGGTATTTGAAGGCCAATTTTAGACTTGCTTGAATTGTATCATAAAATGAATACTTCTTACACTAGAAACACCAAATTTCATATCTAGCCATTTCTGGGGGTGCTCTTTCCATTTATCATGGTTAAAATGACATAAAACCAACAGATTAAAATGTATATGGTGCAGATGTTGAACAAGTAGAGTCCTGACTTAACATGTAAAATTTCTGGATTGTAGAGAGAGAAGCTTAACACACGCCAAGCAATACCCACTAATGAACATAACATATCATGAAGTGGTATTCAACCACTAAATCTGTAACTGAAATCATTAAAATAAAAATATTTTATCTGTCACAATTTGATCAAAAAGTTGAAATTCTGACACATGTTAGTTCCGATCACTACGTAAGCGGTATGAAATCACCAAATTGTCTCAATTTTTAAACTGTAATGTTCCTCTCATATTATGCACATAAAAATAAACAACACAGTTATAAAATTAATCAAATAAAGTTTATTTGGAAAATTTCAGTAATGGTGAGCTGGGTGTTGGGATACCTCTTCATTGAGTAGTGTCGGAGTTAACTCCTCCTTCAGTCCGTTAACCCTTTCACCAGGGGTCTCTCTTCCCTGGCTATAAATAGCCGCTGACCCTT